ATACCACTCTCATATCTGTCCATTTAATATCGGGCTGCAGTCAACAGCCTGGTAGTTTAGCTTAGCATAAAGACTGGAAACAAAATCTGCCTACTAACACCTCTAAAAACTCCAGGAACTTGCTGGAATAAAGAAACAAGATGTAACATTAATTAGTGACTTGCTGGTAAGCAGATTTTGGCTTTGACTAGGAATAGAGTATATTAACTGGGGAAATACTGTATTTGCAGTTTACATTCATTATGGGATAAATGTTGCTCTTGTTGGTTTAAAGTTTCTTCCTAATTACAACTTTACAGGAACATTTTAACTTGATGACAATTTATCCATCTGTACTGCACAAGTACTGATTCTGTCTATTGTCCTTCCTTTCCTTCTTTGTACATTTCTTTTGTGCTTTTCTTTCCTTTCTTTTTTTCATCAGCTGAAATCTGACACTATGGTTTTTAAATAATAATAAATCATATTGATGTAGCGTGTTGTTCAGTGTACTCAAAGCAAAACAGGATAAAAAATGTTAATATAAACATTTGGGGCAGAGTGAGTGCTACTGCTGATATTTGTTTACTTAAACTCGAGTTAAACCTAAATCAGTAGGTAATGTATGGCAACATCGGGTTTACAATTAATACTATTTCCTACAAGTTAACACTAACTTATTTTTTACCCCTGTTTTTGTGTGTTTTGTGTGTAGTCAGCTGTGGTTGCTGATCATCATGCTTGGTGTAATTGGGTTTTCTCTTGGCATGACTGCAATCCCCACGTTCCCTGAGATCATCACATGTGCATAGTGAGTGGCTTCACATGTTGTACTGCCTATGACCTGTAGTTTATATATATATATATATATATATATACATATAATGCAAGGTGAAACACATACTCCACTTTACATACACATACTTTGTTTTTGTTTCTTCTTTGTAGTGAACAAGGGTATGAAGAGGGACTAAGCACTCTTGGAATGGTGTCTGGGCTGTTTGGGGCAGTTTGGTCCCTGGGGTAAGTCCTATTGGTTTTTACCAACATATAAACACCCTGTGATTTGCAGAGACATATCTGATGGGTTTTCCCACGAGTTGGTATTTATTTCCTGCCCTTTGATTTTTAATGTTCTGATTAGGATTTTAAAGTGGAAACCTGTTTGTTTTAAAGGATGTTTTATGGCCCAGTAGTGGGGGGCCTTATCACACAACATCTGAGCTTTGAGTGGGCTGCTGCTATTCAAGGAGGCTTGGCGTTTTTTGCTGTAAGTATGTTTGTTCAGTGTGTATTGTATTGCATATGCGTGACCATCCATGTCAGAAAAGGACACAAGAAGCCGTGAAAACTGCAGGCAGATTTGCAGATATTAGAATTTCTATTGTCTTCTTGGTTTGAAAGATCCCAGTTCACAGTTTAAAATAGGCGGCACTGTACTGTGAAAGTGCTTCATATTTATTTAAGGATGTAGAAATGTGATTCTAAGCTTGTTAGTCATGAAACCATGAAGATTGATGGAGGAAAAAAAGCATGTCATTCTCATTTGTTAGCAGTTACACACGTGAAACTCAATATCAACTCTGTCCTCAGGCCTTTCTCCTCGGTGTGCACTATCTCTTTCAACGCCCGCAACAACAAAGGTAATAATTAACATCAAATTAAGATAATCAGATTTATGTCATATATTTAGATATTTATATATACTGTATAGCACATGGAAAGCTGTTTAGATTTTATTCATGCAGTTTAAAAGAACGTGCTGGGTAACACTCACTTTTATGCTTGAATTTAAGCGTTCGAGAAGATAGTCGACCAACAGATGAAAGCACTCATCTCCTGACAGAATGAACCCCTCAGCAACAAGTGGAAGGACGCCATATTGAACAAAACATATTCTCAAAGTTTCAGCTACTTTAGAGAAACAGCCTAAAATAATTATTAATTGCTTTTTAACGTTTTAAATTATACATTTTTTATGTTCTAATGATTTTTACTTGGGTCGTGGAAACATTTTTTGCAAATTTCCATGTAATAGTATTGCTATATTTTTATGAAATGTTTTAAAAGTGTGTTTGTAGTAGGTGCTGCCCAACACCTTAAGAACAACAGTACAGCTGTAATTAATTAAGTTGGTACACTAAGACTTAAATTTAATTCTGTGCAGTAACTACATGCTGCACTATTGATGAATGTAACATGAATGAATCTAGTGTAACACTGGAAATCACAGAGCATTCAAATTCCAGATCACAAACTAAATGTGCCTTTTGTTCTGTTGTATTAATAATCGTATTTTTCTACATCACATGAGTTGGATTTCATGTTGACGTGACACAAGTCAAAAGCTGCTGACCACATTTGTAATAATATGAAGGAAAAAACATGTTAAGTGTAATGCAGGCCATAGTGTATCTCTTAGAAAATATGGTACAATTATGTAACTGGGTGCATTGTCATATTTCACTGATTTTGTATGTTGTGCCTTCTTTTCTGACAGAACAATTGTAATATTTTTGCACTGATTTGAATAAAAACAATAAATGTGTAAATGAAAACTTTCGTACCAGTGACATGATTTTTAATCATCCTGTTAACCTGAGCTGACATCATGCACTGCGTAGCACGCTTATATTATGACACACTAAATTAAAAATAAGTTACCCAGTTGTCCACTGAAACACAAGCTGTATTCTAAAGTAAGTGTTTCTCACTAAAACTATTCAATAGCTTCTTGATATTAGAGACATTAAGACACTTCGAAAGTTAAATATAAAATCATGACATTCTGTTAATAAACAGCAAACATAAAGGTTAATTTTATAAGTAACTTGACTAGCTTGAATTCTTTAAAGTACTTTTTTAATTATACTAAAGTTTCTATAGCATAATTTCATTGGTATGTTCCAGAAATGTAATGCATACATTTTTAAAGCACCCCATAATCATATTTATTTTTTAAAATTACATATCAAAAGTTTGAGTTTATGTATAATTTACAGAAAGAAATCAACAAAACATTTGGAAATTAATCATCTTTTTATAGCTGTGAACAAGTAGCATATACAATCTTTGTTAATCTCTTACAGGCTAAGAAAATAGAACTACAATATTACAGAAATGTTTTCTATATCAGTAAAAATGTAAACAATAGTCAATTGATACATCAATAAATATATAAAACATACAACAATGAATTATTGTGATGACAATGTGTTCAAATTTTGGTATTTAATTGGTCAAATAATGGCCAGAAACAGTGGTTGGTTAGGTGCATACTGACTCTTTAAATATAAAAACAAAACAGTAAAAATACAACCCACCTGCAAGGTTTATTGTCATTACAAAAAAAAATGATGTGAAAAAAAATAAAGAATAAAGGTGAAAGGATTCAAGTTTAAAACAATCATATGTCCATGAGTATCATGTATCAGGCTCAAAGGCACCGTTAGTCCGGCCTGTCGGTCTCTTTGGGAGAGGTCTGTCTGTTGATCTGCCTCTCCTCCTGGTGCTGGGCAACTCTGAAGGGTCTGCATCTGAAAATGTGGCTTGAGAGGACGATGTAGGGACTCCTGGCTTTTTCATCTTCTTTTTCCTTCTAGCTCTACAGGAAAACCAAAGTTCACAATCATTTTTTTTCTAAACCACAATAACATGTCAGTCATAAACCTGTGTTATCTTGCTTTTCTTAGAGAAAAACAACACTTGGACCTTCATGCAGTGTTCAGTAACCCTGTGAATGTAGTCAGGAGGTAAAGTGAGCCACTAACCTGGCATCGGTCAACTCAGGTTCGGTGTCAGAAAGGGTTGGCTCAGAAAGATACCTAAGTTCCCCAGAAGAAGTAATTGCAGCAGAAACCTTGGAAAATTAAGGAAGGAGAAAAAATGAAAATGATAGAAGAAACCCCTAAATCCCAAAGTCTCTCACTCACCCACCATAGCTTCATTAGTGGCTCATGGTTGGTCACAGTTTCACCAAAATATGGCAGGATAGAATAATGGGATTAAAAAACAAAACATGAGTCTACAGCCATGCTAAAAACTTGGTGATGCTGTACTTTAGTTTTAATAAAAAGTACTGCTGAGGCTGAGTCATACAGCTGGGGACAAATTAAGATTTTTGTCAGTAAATGACAATTATCCAGAGGGTGGATAATTAATGTATTAATGGATTTAATGTTCTGTACCAAATGACATTTCAGTCATGACTATCATGGCTCAACTGACCAACCAATATTGCCACACCTAGAGTCAGCTGCTATCTCAATCCCAAACCTTCTTTTATTCTTCACTGACATTTCAACTGCAGATGATAAACCTCTCAGTTTTGGTCAAACTGCTGTCACATCTACAGAATGTGGAATAAAGAGGAAGGGGACAAGACAGCAGTGTGCTGATATATTTTGTTGTATAATCTCATTGTAACTGATGGGAATTCAATTTGACCAAACATTTTAGGCCTGCAGAGAGTGTTTGATGGTCAAAATAAAGATTTATGGTATAGTATATACAAAGAACAAGTGATACTAAACAGAAACAAAAGCACCATAGACACAAGAGAAAGAAAGCCTGCATCTGGAGTGCAGAAATGTATACCTTACCACACCATTTTACCCCTTTTAGCCCATATTCATTACTGATGAAACGATGCGAGTCACAGGACAAGTGCAACTCATCTTGTCTCCTTACCCTAGTCGGCGTGGACCTGTCAACAGTCCCCTCAGACAAGGCTGTGCGTGCATCCACTGGCGGACTCGCCTCTTCATTGAAATCTCCTACAAAACAAAATCACTCAGCATCCCATTTGGAAGTTTCATATACATTATCCATCAGCTGTCTATGACAAGAAAATATAATCCACTTACTCTGATCTACTACATAAGAAGCAAGAAAATATCCCTGCTGCCCATTGGCCAGATGCCCAAACCACCAGCTGTCATTGTCTTTGTACAGCACTTGGATGACATCACCACGGCGTATGGTCAGTTCATCAGATCGATTAGCTTTGTAGTCATAGAGTGAGACGACCTAGAAGAGGAACACAAAAGGTGGAGGGGTTGAATATGAGAGTAGGGAAAGCTGCAAGTGACTGAGCTCACAGCTACAGTGGATACTTACTACTTGTTGAACAGGCGTGGAATCTGTTTCCACATGGATGCCTGAAGAAATGTGGTCCGGAAGGGTCTGATGGAGAAAAAGAACATTATTTTAAACCTGTACTGGCAATTTATGTGGATATATGTTATTTGTCTGACCCCATTAGCAGTTAACTAATAAGTGCAGTAATAAATGAAGAAATAAAGAAGAAATACACAGAAATACAAGAAATAACATCCTTACCGACTGTGGCCTGAAAGATGAAGCTCCTTTTAGACGCTGACCGACTGGACTGAACCCGCCTGAAATTAGAAGAGAACAACAACAAAGATCTAGCATAAATATTCCACCTTGGACTGCAACACAAACCAGTGACTTATGTTTAGAGAGATTACTTACGGACACAAGTGAAAATCACAAGCGGACCATCTTTGTCTCTGTGTATGGTGTACATGCTTAAGGAGACTCTAAACCACAATGCTGGAAGCTTGTGGTTATAGTCACCACATGCTATATCACAGAGCTGCAGCTATAATCTTGGAAAATATTTGACCTCACATATCTAAGAGCTGCAGGAAAGCCATTCATTGGTTGAAAACACATAACAGTGTGATTAACTGTACAAGCCACTCACGGTTTAGGGTGCTCAGAGCTGCCTGGGGGATAAGCTGCTCCGCCAGAGAACCAGACATCTGCAGCTTGGAGTGCGGCGACAGGAGAGACGGAGGAGGTAACGAAGCATTTAACCCCGTCTAAAAAGACAAAGCTGGACTTCATTTGAATGGCAATTTATTATATTTCTAAAAAGCAGCAATATAGTAACTATTTTCTATTTCATGTAGATAATTTTTTTGGTCAGTGGTTGATGTCTAGATGAACAGAGGTCAATTTAAGGACAAAATCAAAAACTTTAAAGTTCCCTATTATGTCAAATACAATATATAATCAAGGTAACAGTTGAATAATTCACTAGTATTGACACATTTCCCCAGTTTTATTCCTCCTTTTTTTTAAATTGATGCAGGTTCATGATGAAGTGACTCAGGTTCATTACAGGTATGTGGTCAGTGTTTATGGGACACTTCCTTAGCTTTAGCTCACTTTCCTCTGTTCTAACCACAGCCAAGTTTTCTGCAGCATATCCCGTGATTGACTACATTTTACTACAGTTTTCCTCTAACCTAGGTTATGTAGGTGATCTGAGTGAGGGGCTAAAATACAATTAAAGTTTTCCAGGACAATATAGATGATTATCCAAGATATTTGGTCATTTTAATCATTCCAGGAAGTTTGGGAACCCTGATTATGGTAACCAGCAAGATAACCTGTATAACAAATGGCCTGGTGGAAATGTTAATGCTGTGCTAACCTGTGCTAACATGTGAGTTCACACAGACTTTATATCATTCTAAACTTATTTTTGTGGTGTTTCCTTCCTCAGCACTTGAGAGGAAAGCCAAGAACAAGCTGGTTTGGACAGAGATTAGAGAACAAAATCAATGTTGGCACGAAAGGCTCGACAGATTACATAACCACCTATGACCCGAATAAAGACTGACTATACAAAGGTGTGTTTAAGGAGTTCTGATCAAAAAACTTACGTTGCCAGAATCTGATGTCAAGCTCCTCCCTGTGTGAATTATCCCCATTTTGTCTGCAAACCAAACACAAAAAAGACCATGTAAATAAAGCAACAGCACCACTGCACTAACACTTAATCCAGATCTAATGGAGCATAGCATGTTCATTATATAAAACTGTACACACACACACACACACACACACACAGTACCTTGCTCATAAATGTATCCAGAAGTTGATGCCCTGTGATGTGGTTCCTAAAAATGGATTGAAAGGGTGAGTTCTGGAATATATTATTATTTGAATTATTGTAAAGAAGATAGAGGATAAAAAAGAGGACGGGTATTTACAAGTACGGAATTCAGCTGCTCCTTAACAGACTGCATTTTCAATGCAAGTCTTGTTGCTTGGGCAAATTGATCCATGGCTGAAGCACCAGATGTCTCCTGTAAAGCTGGGGGATCTGGTGTTTTCCTGATGGTTTTGGTGTCAGCAGACGCTGATCTGCTCACACTTGATGCTGCTTTTATTTTGTGCAACTCCATCTGGGAAACTGTGTGATAAAGGATAACAGTCTTAGCTTACTTTGTATTTAAATTCCTAAAAAAGTGAGCACAGTTGGTGAGAGATTCAGGGGTTGGATCAACAGAAAAAATGGCACTTGTCGGCTGTTTACACAAACCTTTGCGATCGTACAGGTACACATGGACAGGCTGGCCCTGACCGAAGGCACAGAAAGCAACCATGTTTTCATGAGGGTGGAATGACATGCCGTGGAGGGCAGTGGGGTAACAAAGCTCCGAGTAGACTGCAACTTGGTCACCTGAGAAGACAAATCGGCTTACTGCTGGAGCCACTAGGCAGAATACTGTCAGCCAAC